CTACTCATCAGTATGCGACAGAACCACCTTTGCCACCGAGCGCCTTCCCCGTCCGTTCATAGGGTGTACGGGCCGACCGCACGCACCCGCCATGGCCCTGAGCGAGAGATTTGGCAATCACCAGCGTGCCTTGCAATTTAATGCCCGCAATCCGCTGGTCTCGTTTTTTCCCCAACGTTTGCCCTGAGCTGGCCCGGGCATGCTGTTTTTGCGGCGCGACGCCATGATTGCGCAGTTGTAGCGGAAACTACCCCATTCTTAGTAAAAGAGGCAACGCTGGAAGATCGCGACAGTCCAATGAGTGTCACTCGTGCAAGTCGTGTTACTCTGCTCTGAGCAAACCCGCATCGAGTGGCCTCGCGCTAGCCAATAGGTGCACAGTTGGATCATCAGGGGCGTGGGCTTGGTAGGTGGGTGTTGCAGTACAATAGGTAGCCCCGTATTAGTCTCTGCCCTTGTCCCTTTTGCTCGTCGTTTCCCCTCCTTTGCTCCGAGGCCCTGTTACAGGCGGCAATTGTATTGCCAAGAAGCGTCAAAGAGGCGAATAATAGGGCTTGTGAGGGGAACAAGGCGCCGAACGAAGAATCATGGATATATAGACCTCGACAACGCGGGCAACTACTCGTCCCAACCTCCCAGCGGTTGCCCAGCATCACCAAACTTTGTCATGGTTCTGGATCTTTTGGTCAAGCATCGTTACAAAGTGCCTGGTTGCCTGGCCGTCTGTGCCCATGCACGCCATGGTGGCGGCAACGCGGTCGGCCGTAGGATGGTCTAGTCCATCAGCGAGAGAATGGCAGAGAAAAACAGAGCTATTTGCCCACCCAGATCGAGCCCATGTGCATCCTCGAAGAAAGGTGGAAACACCTTCTTCATGGACCCACAGTGGTTGCAATGTTCCTGCCCCTTGTCCTGTTCTGTCCTGTCCACACCCCCTTCTTTTTGCCCTCATAATACCCCCCCAAGTCACTCAAGTCACTCAGGTCACAGGCAGTCCAGCCCATCCCACGCCTTCATAACCCTGGATTCGCCCGCCAAGCTGCTTTTACATTCTTATCGCTTCTTTTCTATTAATCGCATTCGCCTCCTCTTTCTCTTCATCTTTTTCGCGTTTTTTTCTTTCGCACTTCACCAACGTCTACTAGTCTACCCCTCGACTCTCATCCCATCTCCAACAGACAAGCGCGTTTTCGACACCAGCCCGATTCCCCCCCTGAACGAGAGTCGAAACACCAATCTACCACTACGGATATACCCGCTCACGGCGAGCAACAACACCGCCAAGATGATGGGCCGTCCAATTGAAGAGATCGTCTACGATCAGCTCTTCCCCCATCCCAAGTCCTCGGAGCCCCAAAACTTCCAGTCCTTCCTCCAGCGCTCCCTCATCCCCGAGGTTCGTCAGGAAACGCATTCCTTTTACGGCCACATCGATACACAAGAGGCCAAGTACCCAGGCCTCGACTACGTTCACCCTACACACCGCATGCGTCTGAGCCGCTGGCCATGGCACCGCCGCCTCTTCCGCGCCTTTGACGCCCTTGGCCTGACGCGCTTCGAGATTGCCGGCCTGACCAAGTGGGAGGGCACCAAGTGGGCCAAGGAGAAGTTCGAAAAGGAGCAGGGCATCGCTATCCGCGATACCACCGCCGATGGCTTCCCGACTTGGGAGGAGCCCGCCGTCTGGGTGACTCCCTCCACCGATATTGACATCGACGCCGCCTCCAGCCCGACCCTCAGCTCTAGCCCCTCCAGCAGCGGCATGTCCACTCCGCCCTACCAGCCCGCCGATGAGGATGACGACGACGAAGACGATGAATCGAGCGAGGACGAGCTCGAGAGCGTCGGCGTTGAGCTCAACGCTCGCCTCCGCACCCAGGCCGCCCGTCGCGATGCTGGCGACAGCTCCGCCGTCCTTGACGAGGCCTGGGAGGAGTGGCTTAAGACGGCCATTGAGTCGGGCGAGCTCGCCATTGTCACCGAGCAAATGACCGAGTCCGCTGCCGGTAGTCGCACCGCGCCCCTGACCCGCACCGCCGCTCTCGTTCCCCACGGTATGCTCGACCTCGCCCGCGGCGGCCAGTGGGACGATATCCCAGAGTTCCTCCAGCCCATGCTCCGCGAGGTCATCCGCGGCGAGACCTCGATCTCTGCCCGCGGCGACCCCGCCCGTTTTCGGGCGACTACCCCTAATGCCCTGAGCCGCCAGCTGAGGGCGGCCACCCCGCGCTCCGCCATGGGCTGGAACTTTGGCGGCCAGGTGAATGCCACTCGCACAGTCAATCCTAGTGCTTAAGCAGTGAGCTTGATGGTGAAAGAAAAAAAGACATTACAAAACACGCCAAAAAAATTGCTTGAGAGACACCAAGCAAAGGCCATGGATTACGCGGCTGGTCATGATGGGCGAGAATGGAGCTTCACTAGCAATGAGTGCATGCACTCGGAATTCTTATTTTGATTATCGGGACTTTTTTGGAGTCGATGGGACACATTACCGCAGCGTTGGGATAATGACCCTTCCTTTTACTTTGTTTACAGCGATTGAATTCTTTTTTTCCGGACGTTTGCTTCCGTCCTGGAAGAAGTGAGCCAAAAAATCTGGGACGATTTTAATATTTCTTTTTGGCCTACTTACAGCTTGTCTACTTTTTTTTCTTCCCGCTTATTCTTCACCATTCATCTGGAATGTATGGATTCCTTTAGACAAATACAAAGAATGTTTGCCTCACACACATGACATAAGCTGACCCGACCGCGCATCTGCCCCCCGGCGTATTTCGCCTCAAACAGGAACCTCGATGCGTGCTTGATCAGCATTCAGGTGACCCCAGAAGCACGGGCCGGCTTACGGCTCCGGATAGTCGCAGCAAGAAACTTGGCACGCAGGCACGCCAAGTTGATCAAATGTTTTGATTTACCAATTGCCATACATCCCATCCATACTTCATTCAAAAAGTACAAAACTCAATTACTCCATCGTCCACAACCCTTGCCAGGTTAAAACGCCCGCTAATCATGTCAAGTAAAATCATGTTGTAAACCGCCCCCCGGATCCCTGAATCCCCCCCAAAAAGAAAAAAATAAAATACGACACCAAGTAGTAAATGAAGAAGCTCGACAACAAAGCAGATTGGTGTTGCAGCTTGCCGACAACGGGCCGTCTTCCCGAAAGCGGCAACCTAGCGGCAAGCGTCTGGCGTACTCTTTCTGTACCAACGCTGTGAACCCGAACTCCTCTGATCACGACAGTTGGTCGCTGAAGGAAGATTGATACAAGGCGGTACAGCAAGAACAAACGCTGAAAAAAAAATTGTAGCGTCTGGGACAGCACATGAATAAAATCGTGGCGTGCGCAGCATGGCCCCTTTACTTTTCCGGCTCCAGATGCGACCACTCAGGCACGGCCTTGAGCTGCTGCCACATGAACTTTTCCAGCTTGGTGGCCGACTTGGCGTACGGCGTGCTCTCATTGTTGTACTTTCGGCAGTTGCCAAATACGAGCGTCGCGTCTTTGATAAACTCTTCGGGCGTCGGGTACTGGTCCGCCTCGAGCTTGCTTTCCATGGTGCTAAAGTCCATGGGCTCCTTGATCACGTCGTAGTAGTCGGCCACGTCGTCGCGGTTGACGGGCACCAAAAAGGGCCACGCCGAGTTGTGGTTCTGCAGGTCGTTGAGCAGGTGCAGCAGCTGGTTGTAGTTGGGGCCGTGCCGCGGCTGGCGCGCGAGCTCGTCCATATCCGGTGACCAGCCCGAGGCGCGGATGGCGGGAATGTCGAGCGGGTTGATCTCCTTGATGCCGTGCCGCCACTCCTTGGGTGGGGGGTGCACGTTGTGCGACTTGGAGTAGGCTCGAATCTTGGCCTGGACGCACTCCTTTTGCTTGAGCAGCAGGCGTCCGACTTCCAAATACCGGATGCGCGGGAGCATTGAGCACTGCATAATGGTGCCGCCTTCGTAGTCTTTGATGTAGCCCATCCAGACGCTCCGGTCGAGCGTAATCTCCTTTGTAAAGCCTTGCTTTTTAAAGTAGCCAATGGCGTAGTTGTCGGCGTACGTTAGAAAGTACATCACATCGCTGGTGGCTTTGACGTAGTCCTTCAAGTGACACATGAGATGCGCACCATAACCCTTGACCTGCTGATCTGTGCTGATGGCGAAGAAGACGATTTCCGCAAATCGACGGCCCTTGAACGGACGGAATGTGACACCGCCTACTACCTCGAGTGGCTTCTTGACGATTGCTATCGACAAGTGAGTTCGATCGTAGACTAGTCGCGCAATGTAGTCCTTGGGCATCTTAGGCAACTGCTTCTGGAACAAACACTTGAGACCGGTCAGAACGATCAGTGATTCGCGCCCTCCGTCGTTGTTGACTACTCGAAATTCTATTTCGCCGTTTCGCTCTTCAATAACGCCTGGCTGCATGGAAAACGTTCGTTAGCGAGACAAGCATGGGAAAGGGTAGCACCCGAAGCTTACCTTGTCGGGGAACGGAATGCGTTTCAGCGCAGGAGCTGACGAGTCTTCCGTCTTTGAGTCGACGCCGTCCTCTGACTTGATATTTGGGTCTTCATCCTTCTCCTCGTCCTTGTCTTCATCGTCATTGTCTCCATCTCCATCATCGTCTTTATCGTCCTTGTCATCCACACCGTCTTCAACTCCATCGTCGGCCCCAGCGTCGTCGCCAGCTGGTGCGCTTATGGATGCATCTAATTGATCGTCGTCTTGGGGCTCTTCGGAGTCGCTGTGCTTGGCGCGCTTCGGGGCTGCAGGGGAGGGTAAATCCTCCTCAGCTTTGCGCTTCACTACTCATGTGGAATCAGTACCGACGCACTGGCGCATAAATCGTAACACTTACTCTCTTCCTTGATCTCTGACATTTGCAGGCGTCCGTTGCCTTGAGTAAGTGAACATGAACTACTAAACTCTGGAGCTTTCAAAGTTGGACTTGATCTGTGTCGCATTTGCGGAGCTGCCGTTCGCGACTGGTGGGGCAACATGCTTACGTTATGAGCCACGCCAGGAACCAAATCGCGCTAGTCCTAATTGGCGACAACGGGACACGCATTCACATCGTGCATCGGGAGCTCCTCCATATCATCTTCCTGCGACAACTTAACGAAGCGAAGCTTTGATCTCTCCCATCAAAGGACGACGGCGCGCGGCGGCATAAGTTCACGAGTACTCGTATAAAAACCGAGCTCGCACATCACACAAACATATACTACATGGATTCATCGCTGCATGAGGTCTGGCTAGCTGCTGCTGGCAGTCCATTCCTCCCCACCGTCGGCAAGGGCAGCCAATTTTTGGTCGGCTTTGTACTACTTCTTTTGGGAATCATTGCTACTGGTGTATTTGCATTGAGTGAGTCAAGGCAGTCGAGGTGCCAATCCTACAGTACCGCTGACAATCCCAGACCGTTCGCTAGTAAACGTCTTTGCAGTCGGTATTCCAGCATCTCTGGCATTAGCGTATGTCGCAAAGCGTCCAATTCGTCTCTAGACAACCCATGAGCTGACTTCTTTTAGATACGGTGTTGTATACATGTTCTGCGCGGTCGGAGTCTACGTCTGAGATACCCCACGCCCTCATTAAAGTCGGAGCGACACACACTGTATATTAGCTGGAACACACAAGAGCAAAAGGCCACTCAGCGCCACTTATATTTGATTTAAATTCTGCAATTTTCTTTACTACACTCGTCAACTCTAGGTCTCCGACAGCCAAGAAGGCCATTACGTCATGACGGACAAACATCCAATCCTACGCGCCGTGGCGACGTCAACGCGTCCGCTTTATCAGCTTCTACGGTGCATTAACTTCTCTCCGAAAGTTCACGTTCAAATCACTGAAGAAGGTATTCGTTTCGCGGCGGATCACGCGAAAGTAATGCAAGGTAAGTGCTGGGACTGTTGCGTAGAGATCTTGTACTAACATGTTCTCAGGAGTGGCATTTCTCAACAAATCTCTCTTCTCTTCGTACTCTGTCAATTTACCACCTGCAGAAGACGGTGAGCCGCCAGAGCTACCAAATTTTCAAATACCACTGTCATCGTTCCTCGAAATTCTTCAAATCTTTGGCGCTGTGGACGTTGCCGCGCGAGCTCAAAAAGCTGAACAAGACCCATATCGGAGCAATTTGAGGAACTATCGCCCGGATGCATTCAGCAATCAGACACTGGGGATTTCCGGAACATGCACTCTGGTTTACGGGCAAGAAGGTGACCCATTCAAAGTTATGATAGAGGAATCAGGTGTTCAAACCACAGCTGGCCTCGCAACATATGTACCCGAGATCACAGACGACATACCTCTGGATAGAGACGACATATGGTTCAAGATCATCATGCAATCGCGGTCACTGCTAGATTCTCTGGCAGAAATCTCGCCTACAGCGCCAATGAAACTATCAATTACGACGTCAAAAACGTCGCCTTACCTATCCTTCACCGGCAAGGGCGACTTGGGTAGCTCGGATGTCGATTTTGCCCGAGGCAGGGAGCTACTGGAAACGTTCAGTATTAGAGACAAATGGACGCAGTCGTACAAGTTTGACTTTATCAAGAACTCGACCGAGGCCATGCGCATTGCGAACAAGGTCAGCTTGCGAGGCGATGGGCAAGGGGTTCTTAGTTTACAATTTCTCGTCGATATAGAGGGAGGCAAGCGGAGCTTTTTGGACTTTCGGTTCGTCCCCTTTGCGGCTAATGATGATGAGGAAGAGTACGAGGAAGGGGATAACGTTGACGTGGGCAGCGGGCCCGAATTATAGGGACAAGACAAATATTGGCTGCGCAGACCTTATGCGATATGTGGATCGTCATAATACAGATATATGTGCCAGAAATCTATAGCTGACGTTTTGATACAATTTGTTGCGAATTTTTGGTTGATGTGAACACCAACAACAGCGAGCCAACAGTCCATCGCTTGTGTCTTTCAGCGAGTTGCTTTTCACCGTCGATGTAATCTTGCTCTGGAATTTGCGGCAGCTAAATACTTGTTTGTGCCGCTGCTGACTCGCGTCAATTCAGTGCAGCACCACGTGGCAATGACACCCTTAATTGGAATGGAGAAATTCGCTATAAGAGGGAGAATGGTTTGTGGCGTCGTGCTATTGATATTATTTATCCACCTCAAGGGAGACGGGACCACTATTGGAAAGTCTAAAATGAATGCATTTCGCGGTTTGAATCATGGATTCATGCATGACCAGATGCATTTATGTCGTTGCTTTCCCTGTCATATTTGGGTATAATTCCATTGGAGCGTCTTATACGTATTATACGCACGCGCCTTCATCCTTGCACATCATCCTGACTCTTTCACCACCCGCGGAATTGGTCTGTCCAGAACGGATCCACGGCGAGTCCGCACAGCGATTCCAAAGCATGAAGAGGAAGACAAATTGTCACCCCATCTCGGACAGAAGCTGAAGCCGAAGAAGCGATAGGGCAGAGGCTTGCATGAAGTGCTAATATTCGGTTTCCGACATCCCAAATAATTGATAATAGATGGACTCTTCCCTGAGCGTCGTGCTACACCGAGCCACGACGGAAGTGGCACAACATCGAATACCTGCACTTGGTACATGGGCTGAAAACCTGAAAACCGGCGTATCCATGTGGTTTACTTCATGCATCGGAAGCCGCAAGCCGGCCCGGCAAAGCGACAAGTCTACACCTGCAGATGACACCATTGCGCTGCCGTCGCGAGAAAAAACAGAAGCGACAGGGCAAAAACCGACACCGAGAATGCCGCAGCATGCGGCTGCTTCTTTCTTAAAGACTGGAACCTCGCGTGCAATGCGAGAAGCGAACAATATTCTGTGAAAGACTTGCAGTGTTAGCATTCGCACGACGGATGCGGCTTCATACAACATGTCTTTCCACCTGAACGCGCATCTATTCATATGCTTGCCAAACTATACGCCTCTTTGATACCTCAACCGAAGATTATCAAAAATACAACCAGCGATGCAAACCGCAGATTGATATTATAATTATTATTGTGCCTCGGACTCGATCTTCTGCCGAGCACCGACTGACGGCTCATTCGAGAACCATTGAGACAGCGAAAATCAGTGGAAACTAAAGGACCTAAAGGACGACGCTGCTTCTCAAACACCAGGCGAGCTTTGACAGACTCAAATGCGGGACACCCTTGAGACAGACTTATGCACTGTCCTCTGCATCTTTGACTGCCTTTTGTCGACGAACAAACAGGCGCTCCGAAAGATCGCCGACTGGAAGATTGAGGGGGAAATCGACCGAGCGAAGAAGCTGAGCAAACAAGAGATACCACCCAAATATACATAATATGAACACGAAACCACCAGTTGTCTTGGATTTTTTAATACATTAGCGCTTGGATTTTTTTGATACGTTCCGGGGTTGTTATACTTACGGCTTCTAGTGCGTGAAATGCCTGCATGTCGCCAGCAGCCGCCTTCCAGTACGCGCCTGCAAGCAGAAACAAGGCAATGTCGAGGAGGAGGAAGATGGTGAAGAAGACGATGTTTGTCCGGAGGGAGCAGATTAGGAACATGAAGACGAGTACGCCCATACAGACATGGAAGAACGCTACAGGAGGGGGGGGGATTGGTCAGTGACATTGTTCGTTTGCTGCTTCAAGCGAGTTGGCATAAGTCCAGACTCACCCGTGCTGGATTGAAAACTAGCAATTCCAGCAGCCTTTTCCGCAGCCGTCGTGGCATTGGCGGTAAATGCGCCCTGGGCATTGAAGAATGGAGTAAGCGTGACTGCAAAGGCGAGCCAGAAAGCGCCTAATAACAAAGACAAAAAAAGGTTGTAAATAAGCGAGATGTTGAACCCATGAAGCTTGGCAAACTTACCAAAGGATCCGAAAACAATGTAGACAAATGTGTTGCCAATGATCCATTCCAGAATCGCGCCCAGAATCTGCAGCATGCCGCCGAAAAAGTAGAAAGTGCCAATGGTCGCGGCGCCGCCGCCGCCAGCACCGCGCCAGCCCATCAGCGCACAGCTCAGAGGTGTAGAAGCAATGAGGAAACCGAGAAGTGGACTTGCCCAGGTGGTTTTTTATATTAGCATTTTCATGCGCCGCATATTTCTCTGGCCCGTTTCATTGCAGCAGAGTCAAAACTGTAAATGCTGGCAGTGATGGGGAGGGGGGGTTTCTCACAGAGGGGTCGGGTTCGCAAAGGTCTGTCCAAGGTTGCCTTTGACGCGGTTCGCGGGGTTTAGATATAGCTTTTCAAACATTTCGTTTGTGACTGTGACGCTTTGGACCTGGTGAAGAAAAGGCATGTTGGGCCGTATCGACGACTCAGAGTCGGATTCCTTTGTATCAGCAGCATACGCCATTGTGAGATAATCAAAGTATATGAAAAGGCCAGTGGGAAGAGTCCGGGAAAAAAAAACCAAAAAAAAAAAACCCCCCAAAACCAAAAAGAAGAGTGTAAAAGTGGCTGCAAGGTCTAATTACTACATCACAGGCGCGCGGTGGGCTTCTACTTATTGAGTCAGTCATGATCAATTAGGAACCCTCGCCATCTCTCATTTTACCCCAGTTTTCAAGATATTCTGCTCAAGTACAATTTCCGTCAAACGGCTAGTTGCGTTTGTGCTTGACGATGAACCGTTTGTTTGCTTGCTTTGTTTTTTTGTTATTCAACGCCAGGCAGGGGGGACGAGTAGAGCCAAATGGCGCCCGCTGCGTACCGAAGCCTGGGCTCAATCCCCTGCCTGACAGCCCACGTTGTCTGTGTTGCCAAATACAGCGTCGCCATCAGTAAGTCAGACCAGATACAACATCTTTTATCCCGGTTCTCATAGGTATTGTTCCATCGTAATCTGTCTAGTTTATAGCAGCAGAGTGAGGCTGTCCAGGGTTGGCACAATCTTTTGTGTGCTTGCTTGGTGTATTCAAGGCGTCGTGCCAAAACTCTGTGACGCAGAGGTGCGCCAGTGAGCTCAAAGGCCATTATGAACTATTGAGCCAAGGTCTGTGTTCTTTGGGGTCGAGAAGTCAAAGGAAGCGAACACGGACCAAACGTGGCTACCCTTTGGCGGTAGTCGTTGGACTGTGCATGTTATTGTCTCTGGCCGGCGATGGACCAGACAAGGATACAAATAACGGCTTCATTCCCGCTGATTCGTAGAACCTTTACCACTCACACTCCGGTGTCGACGGCTAGGGTTCGCCGAGGCTCCAATTCCTCGTAAAGCAGAGCAAATCTCGGAATGTTGGACAGTAAGAAGTAACTACTTTGGAAGCTGCCGTAGTGTAACTAGTTATTCGGTAGTCGTGGTATCATCATATGACCCTCCAAAGCTACGCAGGTAGGGGACGACATTGTCTGAAGTCGATCAGTGCAGTCACATACTATTAGTAACTCGCAACAAAGAAGACGCCGAGCCAGTTCTGTAGAGGCCAATTTCAGCACTGAGCCGACCCTTTTCCTTGAAACATTCAATCATCAAACATATTTTTCAAGAGCTCAAAGAGATTCAAGAGCTCAAAGAGACCCAACGACCTTGTCTGACTTTTATTCGCGCCGGCAACTGCAGCCAGCGTCTCGAGAAAGTGTTTGTGCGCACACATAAATACTCCCGGCGAAGCTGTGCCTGGCACGCATAGCTTCTGCAAAACTTTTAGACCTTTTTTTTCTTCCCTCTCTTTGCGCTGTATTGGTCGTGACCGCTGTCATGCAGTAGAGCATATGCGTACCAGTAGAGCGACTCGTCGCTGTGCATCTACGTCGCCCACTAGATTCTATCAACCAATCAACCATTCGCGAGATCGTCATCGCTCCAATTTCGATTATGAAAACAGTGTATACTGTAGTCTAATTCTGCATTGAAAGTTTGTAAATACTGAAAGGGCCAATTGTCAAAGCTGACATTTGAAAAGGGTAAAGACTAACTCGCTTTTTACTATGCTCATCGACAATCGCTGCATCGACACCGCAGGCATCTATACCAGCTTCCATCTACTTACGATGATTTTTAATTACATCCTCGTAAGTGAGGCTAAGAGTATACTCTGAACTATCGCCGTGACACGTATCTTCACGGTCAAGTTTTGTTCAAATAAGACTGGGAAACCCGAGCTAATATGTACTGCTACGAAGTATAGGCCAGTGACGTGCAAACGGTGGCAAGGGGTGATCTATGGAGAGCAATGTAACAATATGAAGATGACCCGGCGGGTAAGTTTCAAGAGTTTGTCTTACGTACATCCGATGTAATTGTTCCGAGGTAGATTGTCTCTGGGGTGAGCCAAGGTCGTTTGATCGTGACTGCATCTTCACTCCGCAGCCATCACCAGCAAACAGCTGCAAAGGAAGCGACATGTGAGACACAAGTTCAGTCTCACTCTAGATTTGATCCTTGTGCTCCTTGTTTCATTAAATACAGCGGTGTGCTAGAGTAGCCGATGAACACTGTCCAGCAAGTTTGAACTGGGCGGCAGATGAGCATGTTGAAGTGCCCACAGGCCAAGCGGTGCCGGTGTCAATGCGAGAGTAGACTCAGAGAGGTAACGACAATACAGATTTAGCCTCTTAATGCCGAGATATCAGGTCCCTGTGAACGCATCTGAGCCTTTCATGTCTGAGACTTGCCGTGGTCCGGGCCGAGGCAAACAGTTGCCGCATGCGGGCCCCGGCTCGATGCCGAATGTAAGCCAACAGCTACCAGCGATGACTGTCTAGTCAAAGATGATTCTCATTTAATGATGGAGCTGTGGGCATGAAGAGTTGTACGCTAAATGGTAAGTTGTCGCGAACTCTGCAAAGTACCCTGCCAGGTGTAACCATATCGATCAAACAAAGGTGCAGCCACG